GATGGGGGGTTAAAAAAAAAACTTCTTCAGGGCAATAAAGCTCTGTCTACACAATAAGACAAATGGTTTAAAAATAGAGCCAACCAATCGGTTGCTCTGACTAGCCAGCTGCTGGTAATTTTCCCCACACTGAATTGACTAGTCACTCTGACATCAGGGCCACGATCTGTATTAAGAAAACGTTCCGTAAGCTCTGTAATAACCTCATATGCAAAGTAAGCGGAGGTATGCAAATTCAAGCCCTGCTTTCAAAATTTTTCAGGGGATAGAACTGATTATTCAAGTCTAAATTTAATGAAAAAAATTAATAAGGGACACATGATACTAGGACTGAGCCCCAAAGTGAAGTCATATGCTGCTGCCCTGTGCTAGTAATGACCCGGTGGGAGTGGGTGTGCCCCCACCAGCCACCCTGCTCCAGCTAGGTGATCAGGGGGCTCTGCACCCCCACTGGGAAACAAGGTATGCTTGGCTTTCCTACAACATGACATAAAATATGGGAGTTTCCTGGACAACTTCAGTTCTGAGTAAAGATTACCGCCCTATGTGTGAAATGCTACTTTAAAGATAACTTCCTCCAAACTATTGCATTAAACAATTTGCTTCCTAAAACAGTGAAAAGTTGCTGAATCAAGAAGTGGCATCAAAACCAGCATGTTTTGTTTCTGTTGCATGATTAAGGAGAACATTACAGTTTACAGCTGCCAATTAAGGAAGGCTCTTTCAAGAAATTGTTACTGTCTTAGGATTTCCTATTCACTGGTGAACTCTAGGCACTTGAATTCCTGTTCACAGAAAGCTACCCAGAATTTTATTTGTTTCAACTATGAAGCATTTTCATGAGGCACTGGGATCATGCAGATCTGAAAATGAACTGGCAATAAATTAAAACTTTTTTTTGGTAAATTTGTTAAAAGTCTCCAGATTTTAATTCCAGTAGCTCTTGATGACACATCCTAATCTTACTATGGTTAAAATGTTCAATGTAATAAAAGGAAAAGAGATATTTCTTTTTACTGAACTTCTGAATCTTTTTGTTTTGAAGCCAAAAATATTCTACCTTATAACTGATTATACTCCTAAAGGAAAGAACACAGATATTAGTTATTGCTGATGGTACAGACCATCACATTAAAGTCGATCCTTTCAAAATCTACTGGAAGTCCTTCCAGATTTGTACAGAAAGTCATTTTCCTGTAGGCTAAGAGAACCCGGAAGGACAAACTGAGAAATAATGGAGACTCTTGGTTCTATTTATTCCCTTTCTTCATTATGTCTAATGAAACTTCATCACAGCAGGTCTCTCACTTACCATTCTCTTAGACTGAAGAAGTGGAGGCTCCTGAAAAATGTAATACTCTTCTAATATTTTTTAGCCTTTCATTTGCACATCAAACACGACAAATGCCCCAGAATTCCATTAATGTTTCTGGCAAATCATATAATCAAATTGCCTGGGTTTCTATTACTGGAAGTCAAGACACGTAACTCTGCTGTCAGGAAAAACTGGCAGTTGTTTCTTTCAGTCCAGGGCTAAATTCCACTACCACCTCCCTTTTCTGAAACTACCCTGTGTAATGTTTATCTGGATAAATCTGTCCTTGGAGTGTTTTTTTTTTTAAATAGTACCACAGGAATTAAAACAAATCTCTTAAACCTTTGAATCATTTCTAAATGATTCAAGCTTGACCCTTGAAGGCATATTCCACTTCTTTCCTTTAGAAAATATTAACTGTTAGAGGTAGACTATCTCTTGGAGTCAAACAGTAAACAGAAGTCATGCTGCTAATCCCTTTAAAACAAATTTAAATAACAAAGATTTTTTTTTTACACTATCTAGCTTATCACTGTTGTTGAACTTTCATTATAAAGTTAGGACAAGCATTTACAGCCAAGTGAGTTTAGACAGGGTAGTAGCCTGGGATTGTGGGCTGTCACTTCTCCAGAACGTTCTAAGCAGGTACCTAGTACAGATCAGAGTGAGGGGCTTCCAGTAACTTTTCCCAGAGGAAAGGATTCTCTCATTACATAGACAGGTTCTTAGAAAGACATCAGTGTAGGTGGCTCATCTGTCACATACATGACATACTGTGCACCTATATCCTGCATACTAAAGGACCATGATCATGTTCTGAGTGTGTTCTGAAAAACTGAATGAAAAAATGTGTCATACAAACTTATATAACTGCTTTGGTAACTCAATGTCAAAATATAAAAGCCACATGTGAAAATGAACAAATGCCGTTTCAAGCTCTGAGGCTGATGTGTCAATCAGTGTGTGTAGTTTGAACCAAACCTACCCACTTCAACACAAGTGCCATAAATTACAGATATTCTGGCTTGACATCTCTAGGAAAGCCACGGAATAGTTATCTAAGGGACATTTTCATTACTGTATCTTCCAGAGTTTAACTTAGAAAGGAGGTCTCCTAGACTTATTTTCCTTCTTGAGAACAGGAAAGAAATAAATACAAGACTTAAAAGTTCTGAAATTAAGTCTGGTTTTCTTCTTCTTTTTATATATTTAAAAATAATGGCAAGTGATCACCTCAAGAAGGATACCACCCCACTTAAAGGATGAGAGCAAGCCTCTTAATACAAAGGCTCCATCCTTTCAAACATGGGGTGGCATTCAGAAGTGCATGTATAATGAGAGATGGGCACTTCAAACAAATCCTAAATGGGCAGCAAGGAGGTATGCTATTTTAAAGGAACTAAATCTTCCAGTTGCTGTGTGTAGAACTTATTCTGACCACGGCTGAAGAGCAGGTGATGGAGGTTTCATTTGGACTTAGAAGGGCTTGCAATAGGTACTTCTCCTTAATCACTTCTTAAAGAGTTTAAAATGAAGGACTCTTAATCATATCCTTGCTTTATGTTCTTTTAATCACCAAATGATAGTTAATTAGTTATCATAGACTCAGAAAAACACTTGTGTGAAAGGGGAGTTCTGGAGACCAGCCATCACTAGGATGCGACACCTGCAAAGACCTTACTTCAATTTCTTTGAGAGGAATCAATATACACTTGCAGCTAATTAGTAAGTTTTCTCTTTTCAGTCCCAAAAGTTTTAAAAAATGGCCCTGTGTCTTAAGGGAACCAAAAGATGATGTGTACAGACAGGCTATATCTCAATTCTTTTCACATCTAGACTTTTCTCATAAGACACCACAATAAAGAATATATGAAATGTGTATTAGATTGTCATTTAGGTAAATCATCCAAAGCGTGTTCAAAATAAAACACTGATTCCGACTTTAATACTCATCTTTTCATTTTAGAAGCAAACAAAAGAAATTTTTTTCCCATTTTCATTGAGTACAGATTACAGATCTGATGTAGCAATGTGTTACTAAGCATTAAAAAGGTTGCACATGAAAATAGCGCCATGACCGTTTCTGAGACAGGCTGATGGAAACAAGGGGAGGAGGAATTTTTCCTCCCCAGAAATGCGTGAGGAGCAGTGGTGTTGCACAAGCCCACGGCACTCACTCCCTTAGGAAGGCATGTGGCCATAACCAAACAGAATCACTGTCTACATATGGGGAGGAGTATGAGAAACTGTGGGGACACCAGCTGTGGAGGGCTGAAGAGATGGACCTGTTTTGGGCTAAATGCAGAACATGTCCCAGGAGCACTAGAGGCATTTAGAAGCCTTGCTAACAGGGTGAGGCACTGAAGCACTGCGCCTTTTCCTGTGCACCCGGACGCCATGAAATCATCAACAGTGACTGACAGGTTTGTTGGCTAAAAATGTGAAGGTTGAAGATCTGCATCATCGTTTGGTGAAGTCAGAGAGGGCCACACATGCCTTGCCTCTTTGGTAATGAGGCGAGAGACCTCTGTTTTTATTTTGCTGTTGTGGAGATAGAGGCCCAGTAGTGGAATGTTTGGGACACATGGGAGCAGTGGCCAGATGCCCTGATCCATCTGGATTTATATGAAGTAAAGTTAAGCCACCTTTATTTGTAATGAGCCCCACCCTGGAAATGACGGGGTTTCTCCCAAAGCTTGCTAATTTCATGTTGGAAAGAAAGCAGGATGCTAGTGGGGGTGGGGGGGGATACAGAGTCCCAAGTATTTTAAACAAAACGTTAGAATTTTCCTAACTACATTCCTTTTCTGTGATTTCAGTAAGAATAAACAACTTCAAATGCTTAAAATATACACCAGGGAAAAGGAAATAATTTTTTACTTAATCTGGGTTATAATTTTCCCATTAAAATCTATCCATATCAAGTGGGGGTCACAAAGAAGTAACAATTATTTTTAAGAGTTTCGACTGTTCACCTTAAGGATAGCTCTGAAAACAAAATTTAGTTTGAGATTCAAGCTGTTTCATTTCCTTTTAATCTTGTAAATTTCCTTCCCTTACAATACTCAGGTTGGAAGGGTGCCAAATTAGACCAGGAACAAATTTTTCCCAACTTCACTTCGGTGCTTTATTTTTAGATTATATTAAAAACCTCATTAGGCTCCCTGAGGGAAAAGAGTGTTAACCACTAACAGAAGCAAGGAAAATAAAGGAAATGGAAAGATAAGCTATAAGCTAAATTGTTAACAAGGAAAGCTCTCTTAAAACACTTGGTTCTGAGGGATGCCAGGGTTAACATCAACACCAGAATGGAAATGCTAGTGTCTCTGATGAAATCTCCCAGATAATGCAAGATGAGGTAAAGCTTTTTTCCCATGAACCAAAGTGCCTCAGCATTCCTTAACCGGGGGAAGGAGCACTTCCTCCCAACACTCACAGGAGGCTTTGCAGGCTTGCCTCCAGCATCATTCCCCATCCTGACTATGGAAGGACCCAGAGAGGGAGAGGTATAAGATGCAGGAAGCTGGGAGGCCGGATCAACAGATGCGAACACCTGGCTGCTCACCAGATACTATACCTAGCTATCCAAGTTCTGGCTACTTCAGTTTTCAAAATGACTTAAGAATATTCAGTTAAGAAAAGTTACGTAAAGAATATTACCACAAACCATTTGAAAGGCAATATATATATTTGTAAACATAGTATTTTATTAACAAAGTGTTTACACCCCTCTTACCTCTTACAACAAATTTTGTAGTGATTTAGCATGTTATACTCTATAACAGTTTATTATAGAATATTCAAGCTAAAACAAAAGTTTACAAGTATGCCAAATCTACTACCATTTGCAAATGACCCACTAACCAGCATTAAGTATAAAAAGAAAAATCTTACAACAAAAATCAAAAGATGTAGTTTTCTTTTGTCATCATCTACAAACAATACAGATATCACATGGTTTATATATAGACTTAGGTCCAGCCCAAGATTAAGACTGCAAAAATAAAGTCTTCAAACTTCCATATAAGCTTGGCAAACCACTATCACAATATTTCATCACAGGTAATCAGGTGTTGAGTCATGCAGTGAAGCCACGGCTATAAATCTGGGCTGTTTATATTGTTACAAAGCGGCCTAAACCATAAGCAACTTATTTTTCATAATAGACACTATTATAAAAAGGCACAAATATCTTAATTCCTTGCATTGGTCTTGAAAAGACATGACGTTCTTAGGAGAAACAAGAATTGCTGGTACGATGGCTTAGCATTTTTTTTTTTTTAAATGTCTAGGCTCATCTCCATAGCTGTTATTCTTTAAGACTGTACGTAGGCTTGGATTTTGCACACTTTAACAAATGCTCTGTTACAAACTAAGCAAAGTTCTGACATGTAAACTATATCATCACGAACGGTAAAAACATTTTGTCACTTAATCATGTTGCCACTGGAAGCCAGAGCTGCCCATTCCCTCTCTGGAAATACTGGTGTTCCTCACTTAGAATTAGCTTTTGCGTTTTCTGACGATGCAGTAGACTTGGTGGGCAAACCCCACTGCTGTGACTGCATAAGACAGCCCAGGAAGGGATGTCACATGCACCGAGGAGGAGGCTGGTGCCATCTGTGTCTTTAAGGGAGGGCCCGCTACAAAATGAGAATGAGAGAAATGAGGCAAGGAGTCTGCTTTCATCACAGAGAGGGCAAGATGTCAGTTCTTAAGAAGGTCAGAGGCATGACTGACAATTATGTGAGTGACTCATAAGGTGAAATGATGGAAAGACTGAGCTGGATGGGGGGTTAAAAAAAAAACTTCTTCAGGGCAATAAAGCTCTGTCTACACAATAAGACAAATGGTTTAAAAATAGAGCCAACCAATCGGTTGCTCTGACTAGCCAGCTGCTGGTAATTTTCCCCACACTGAATTGACTAGTCACTCTGACATCAGGGCCACGATCTGTATTAAGAAAACGTTCCGTAAGCTCTGTAATAACCTCATATGCAAAGTAAGCGGAGGTATGCAAATTCAAGCCCTGCTTTCAAAATTTTTCAGGGGATAGAACTGATTATTCAAGTCTAAATTTAATGAAAAAAATTAATAAGGGACACATGATACTAGGACTGAGCCCCAAAGTGAAGTCATATGCTGCTGCCCTGTGCTAGTAATGACCCGGTGGGAGTGGGTGTGCCCCCACCAGCCACCCTGCTCCAGCTAGGTGATCAGGGGGCTCTGCACCCCCACTGGGAAACAAGGTATGCTTGGCTTTCCTACAACATGACATAAAATATGGGAGTTTCCTGGACAACTTCAGTTCTGAGTAAAGATTACCGCCCTATGTGTGAAATGCTACTTTAAAGATAACTTCCTCCAAACTATTGCATTAAACAATTTGCTTCCTAAAACAGTGAAAAGTTGCTGAATCAAGAAGTGGCATCAAAACCAGCATGTTTTGTTTCTGTTGCATGATTAAGGAGAACATTACAGTTTACAGCTGCCAATTAAGGAAGGCTCTTTCAAGAAATTGTTACTGTCTTAGGATTTCCTATTCACTGGTGAACTCTAGGCACTTGAATTCCTGTTCACAGAAAGCTACCCAGAATTTTATTTGTTTCAACTATGAAGCATTTTCATGAGGCACTGGGATCATGCAGATCTGAAAATGAACTGGCAATAAATTAAAACTTTTTTTTGGTAAATTTGTTAAAAGTCTCCAGATTTTAATTCCAGTAGCTCTTGATGACACATCCTAATCTTACTATGGTTAAAATGTTCAATGTAATAAAAGGAAAAGAGATATTTCTTTTTACTGAACTTCTGAATCTTTTTGTTTTGAAGCCAAAAATATTCTACCTTATAACTGATTATACTCCTAAAGGAAAGAACACAGATATTAGTTATTGCTGATGGTACAGACCATCACATTAAAGTCGATCCTTTCAAAATCTACTGGAAGTCCTTCCAGATTTGTACAGAAAGTCATTTTCCTGTAGGCTAAGAGAACCCGGAAGGACAAACTGAGAAATAATGGAGACTCTTGGTTCTATTTATTCCCTTTCTTCATTATGTCTAATGAAACTTCATCACAGCAGGTCTCTCACTTACCATTCTCTTAGACTGAAGAAGTGGAGGCTCCTGAAAAATGTAATACTCTTCTAATATTTTTTAGCCTTTCATTTGCACATCAAACACGACAAATGCCCTAGAATTCCATTAATGTTTCTGGCAAATCACATAATCAAATTGCCTGGGTTTCTATTACTGGAAGTCAAGACACGTAACTCTGCTGTCAGGAAAAACTGGCAGTTGTTTCTTTCAGTCCAGGGCTAAATTCCACTACCACCTCCCTTTTCTGAAACTACCCTGTGTAATGTTTATCTGGATAAATCTGTCCTTGGAGTGTTTTTTTTTTTAAATAGTACCACAGGAATTAAAACAAATCTCTTAAACCTTTGAATCATTTCTAAATGATTCAAGCTTGACCCTTGAAGGCATATTCCACTTCTTTCCTTTAGAAAATATTAACTGTTAGAGGTAGACTATCTCTTGGAGTCAAACAGTAAACAGAAGTCATGCTGCTAATCCCTTTAAAACAAATTTAAATAACAAAGATTTTTTTTTTTACACTATCTAGCTTATCACTGTTGTTGAACTTTCATTATAAAGTTAGGACAAGCATTTACAGCCAAGTGAGTTTAGACAGGGTAGTAGCCTGGGATTGTGGGCTGTCACTTCTCCAGAACGTTCTAAGCAGGTACCTAGTACAGATCAGAGTGAGGGGCTTCCAGTAACTTTTCCCAGAGGAAAGGATTCTCTCATTACATAGACAGGTTCTTAGAAAGACATCAGTGTAGGTGGCTCATCTGTCACATACATGACATACTGTGCACCTATATCCTGCATACTAAAGGACCATGATCATGTTCTGAGTGTGTTCTGAAAAACTGAATGAAAAAATGTCATACAAACTTACGTAACTGCTTTGGTAACTCAATGTCAAAATATAAAAGCCACATGTGAAAATGAACAAATGCCGTTTCAAGCTCTGAGGCTGATGTGTCAATCAGTGTGTGTAGTTTGAACCAAACCTACCCACTTCAACACAAGTGCCATAAATTACAGATATTCTGGCTTGACATCTCTAGGAAAGCCACGGAATAGTTATCTAAGGGACATTTTCATTACTGTATCTTCCAGAGTTTAACTTAGAAAGGAGGTCTCCTAGACTTATTTTCCTTCTTGAGAACAGGAAAGAAATAAATACAAGACTTAAAAGTTCTGAAATTAAGTCTGGTTTTCTTCTTCTTTTTATATATTTAAAAATAATGGCAAGTGATCACCTCAAGAAGGATACCACCCCACTTAAAGGATGAGAGCAAGCCTCTTAATACAAAGGCTCCATCCTTTCAAACATGGGGTGGCATTCAGAAGTGCATGTATAATGAGAGGTGGGCACTTCAAACAAATCCTAAATGGGCAGCAAGGAGGTATGCTATTTTAAAGGAACTAAATCTTCCAGTTGCTGTGTGTAGAACTTATTCTGACCACGGCTGAAGAGCAGGTGATGGAGGTTTCATTTGGACTTAGAAGGGCTTGCAATAGGTACTTCTCCTTAATCACTTCTTAAAGAGTTTAAAATGAAGGACTCTTAATCATATCCTTGCTTTATGTTCTTTTAATCACCAAATGATAGTTAATTAGTTATCATAGAATCAGAAAAACACTTGTGTGAAAGGGGAGTTCTGGAGACCAGCCATCACTAGGATGCGACACCTGCAAAGACCTTACTTCAATTTCTTTGAGAGGAATCAATATACACTTGCAGCTAATTAGTAAGTTTTCTCTTTTCAGTCCCAAAAGTTTTAAAAAATGGCCCTGTGTCTTAAGGGAACCAAAAGATGATGTGTACAGACAGGCTATATCTCAATTCTTTTCACATCTAGACTTTTCTCATAAGACACAACAATAAAGAATATATGAAATGTGTATTAGATTGTCATTTAGGTAAATCATCCAAAGCGTGTTCAAAATAAAACACTGATTCCGACTTTAATACTCATCTTTTCACTTTAGAAGCAAACAAAAGAAATTTTTTTCCCATTTTCATTGAGTACAGATTACAGATCTGATGTAGCAATGTGTTACTAAGCATTAAAAAGGTTGCACATGAAAATAGCGCCATGACCGTTTCTGAGACAGGCTGATGGAAACAAGGGGAGGAGGAATTTTTCCTCCCCAGAAATGCGTGAGGAGCAGTGGTGTTGCACAAGCCCACGGCACTCACTCCCTTAGGAAGGCATGTGGCCATAACCAAACAGAATCACTGTCTACATATGAGGAGGAGTATGAGAAACTGTGGGGACACCAGCTGTGGAGGGCTGAAGAGATGGACCTGTTTTGGGCTAAATGCAGAACATGTCCCAGGAGCACTAGAGGCATTTAGAAGCCTTGCCAACAGGGTGAGGCACTGAAGCACTGCGCCTTTTCCTGTGCACCCGGACGCCATGAAATCATCAACAGTGACTGACAGGTTTGTTGGCTAAAAATGTGAAGGTTGAAGATCTGCATCATCGTTTGGTGAAGTAAGTCAGAGAGGGCCACACATGCCTTGCCTCTTTGGTAATGAGGCGAGAGACCTCTGTTTTTATTTTGCTGTTGTGGAGATAGAGGCCCAGTAGTGGAATGTTTGGGACACATGGGAGCAGTGGCCAGATGCCCTGATCCATCTGGATTTATATGAAGTAAAGTTAAGCCACCTTTATTTGTAATGAGCCCCACCCTGGAAATGACGGGGTTTCTCCCAAAGCTTGCTAATTTCATGTTGGAAAGAAAGCAGGATGCTAGTGGGGGTGGGGGGGGATACAGAGTCCCAAGTATTTTAAACAAAACGTTAGAATTTTCCTAACTACATTCCTTTTCTGTGATTTCAGTAAGAATAAACAACTTCAAATGCTTAAAATATACACCAGGGAAAAGGAAATAATTTTTTACTTAATCTGGGTTATAATTTTCCCATTAAAATCTATCCATATCAAGTGGGGGTCACAAAGAAGTAACAATTATTTTTAAGAGTTTCGACTGTTCACCTTAAGGATAGCTCTGAAAACAAAATTCAGTTTGAGATTCAAGCTGTTTCATTTCCTTTTAATCTTGTAAATTTCCTTCCCTTACAATACTCAGGTTGGAAGGGTGCCAAATTAGACCAGGAACAAATTTTTCCCAACTTCACTTCGGTGCTTTATTTTTAGATTATATTAAAAACCTCATTAGGCTCCCTGAGGGAAAAGAGTGTTAACCACTAACAGAAGCAAGGAAAATAAAGGAAATGGAAAGATAAGCTATAAGCTAAATTGTTAACAAGGAAAGCTCTCTTAAAACACTTGGTCTGAGGTTGCTGTAAAAGCTAAAAGAAACTTATTACCAAGACCAGGTGAGTGACTTGAACTTGGAGTTTATAATTTTTTATTTTACCCCAAGGCTAGGAGGGGGCTAGTCAGGCTTGTCAAAGTGGTGTATGTGATCATGATGACTTCCAGATGGGATTTGGAGGTGAGAGGGTGGGTGGAGGGCCAGGCAGAGAAATCTTTAAAGACTGTTGTAGGCCAAGACTGCTCTATGCTTTGTGCACAACATGAATGTGCTTCAGAGAGTCTCTGTGGATAGGCTAAGATAGGTGGACATACACAAGAGACTGGGTGCAAGATTAAATGGAGTGTTGAATGAAACAGAATTTATTAATGTATTTACATAATTTATAATCTTTAAGCAATGGTCTATAAATATAGACTACAACTTTACATATGCTAAGCAACAGATAATGATTTCCCCTCCAAAGTATTTGGGTTAAATAAAAATTTGACAGCATTTACACCATTTTCTTTCTCCTTTCAAAACCACTGCTAGTTAGTTTAAACATATGCAACTCAATTTATTCCAGGCAGCTTCTCTATCACCGCAATCTTGATCATGACAGCTTATATAAAAATTGCCAGTAATGTGTTTGGTGACACACACATGACAGGGTTGGAATGCAGACCCAGGGTGAGCTCTGCATCTGCTGTTATTGTTCATTTGCTGTATGCAATCTGGGCTAATGTACTCAATGAAAAGTGCTTTAGAGATGGAATGAAATCGTTTCCATCAGTCCTATAAATAATCCATTTTAGCTTCAAATAATAATTGCCACCCCTTTACTTATGACAACCTATCACATTTTAAATGATACAACTACCTATAACAGCGGTAATGGGAAAAACCAAGGAACTTATAATCTCCACAAGGTCTTTTTTTCCCTCCAGAACCATGAAAGTGCTAAATTTCCCTTTACAAATGTTACATAAAACCCTGATTACAAAACTACTCAATTTAATCCTACCGTCTATACAATTATATGTTCTTTTTCACAATGTCGAAAGCCAATGATGTAGTCCCTTTGCACACCAGAGATTCTTTACATAACAGAAGTCCACACGCTGGAGTATTATTGCTGCAGTCTCCAGAAAGGACACAGGACCGGTCACTTTCCTTGAACCCTTTATGCATGAGGAAGACCCAAGCCCGGCTAGGCGAAACCTGGCGGCAGGGCCCCCAGGCCTCCCGTTAGCTTTCAGGACCACCTACTTCATCATCAGGCCTAGGGGGCTGAGCTCAGTCAGCAGCAGCTCCGCTTCGGCTCGGAAGGCTGTCTTCGGAGTTTGAAGCCCTTACCGCCAGATGGCGGGTTGGCGTCAGTGGATGGAATTCTTCGACCTAAACCAAGAGGGAAGGAACGGGAGTGAGATCTAATTTTCCAAATCTGTTCATTCTCAGACACAAAAATTTTGCAGATGCAATCTGACAGCTTTCATTAAAATAAAAAATGTTTCATAAACTGTCAATTTTGGAATAATTTTAGACTTACAGTAAAGTTGCAAACATATGCTAGAGGGTTGCTGTATGCCCCTCCCCCGATTTCCCCTCGTGTTACTTTCTTGTATTACACAGGACGTTTGTCAAGATGAAGAATTCAACATTGGTACATCACTAGGAACTGAACTCCTGGTTTCTTTCAGATGCCGTCACTTTTCCCACTAATGTCCTGTTTCTTTTCTAGGGTCTCAACAAGGACATCACATAGCAGTTAGAAAAAAATTTTTAATTAAAAAAAAATTACATGTTTTAAAAAAATGTTCTGAGTAGGTATTGTAGGCACATAGTAAAAAAAAAAAATCAATAAAATGCTCATGGCAGAGGCCACCTTCCAGAGACAGGTGTGACAGACATGCACTGTACACACACCTGTACTTGTCTCCCTTCTTAAAACACAGACAGTGTGTACTGTTCTCCCCCTCGCTGTTTTTCACTTATATACCCTGGGGATTGTTCCATCACAGCATTCCTTTTAATAAAAGTTCTATGATACTGCATTGTATGGATGTATCATAAATTTACTCATTCCCCTGTTGATGGGTATTTCGTTTGTTCCCAGTATTTTGTTGATATTGACAATAATGCAAAAAACGTCCTTGCAGGGGGCCATCAGGTGAGAAATTGGGGATCAACAGAGGTGAGGCTTAGAACCTCATCCCCCCTGTTCTGAGAGAAATCTTCTGCATCCGTGGATGTTTTATTGCCCTTGTCTAGCTTGGATTAACACATAGTCTACAGGCACACACCTGATCATCTACATTTGCTCTCTTACAACACTCAACTATGTTTTCTATCTTTATCTTGCATCTACCTACCACTTCAGCATTTTATTAAAAATAAAAATAATAAAGAGAAATGTGGTATCCACATATAAATCAAGTATAAAAATCAAACGAATATTCATATTTGAACTGATTGTTTATAGTTCATAACGTGTGATCAAAACCAAAAGTTTCTGTGATGACTGCCCTTATACTGTTCACCATGTAAGAACTTATTCACTATGTAAGAACTTGTTCACCATGTAAGAACTTGTTCGTTATGCTTCAGAAGATTGGAGACTGACGAGAATTAGGCTTGGGGTGAATTAATGATTGTGCATTGAGCACTGACTCCCCTATACAGAATTTTATTGTTGTTAACAACCATTTGATCAATAAATATGAGAGATGCTCTCTCTCAAAAAAAAAAGTCCAATTGTAAAATAAATAAGTAACCGGGATGTAATGTATAGCATAAGGAATATAGTCAAAATATTGTGACAACTTTGTATGGTGATAGCTGGTAGCTAGAATTATCATGTATATAAATGTTGAATCACTGTGTTGTACACCTGAAACTAATGTAATACTGTGTGTCAACTACCCTTCAATAAAAAATAATTATCTACAAAAAAAACCCAAAAAAACCCCCAAAAAAACAAACATCCTTGCAACCCTATGAATGCATGTGTAGGATAAACTAACAGGGGTAGAAGGGCTGGGTCACACAGTTCTACGCCTGGGTATTTATCTGACACACATACTGTATTCCCAGTGTATGTCTAGCACAAATGCAAGAAGGACATGCAATTTAAATTTTGACAGATGCTGCCAAACTGTTCTCTGAAGAGGCTGTGCCACTTTTTTCTCCTACCAACAATGCATGAGAATGAACAGGTTTCACTTTACTGCTCTGTGATGCATAATGTCATTTTCGAGAGAAACCTTACATCACCCATCCACCTACCTAGCTGATCACTGCAGGGCTGCTTCTTATACAAAAGCTTTCCTGACTCTCTCCCACTTCCTAACTCTCTCCCACACCACACTGAAATTAATAAGGAGCCAAAAGCATGTTATTATATATTTGTTTATGCAACTATCTCCCTTGAATTAGACCCTAAGCTCTTCAAGGGAAGAGATCCTATTTCTCATCTTTATGTTTCCAGTACCTACCAGGCACAGTACCTGGCATGGAGGTGTTCTGAAAGCATGAATTGACATATGCATTGTTCGGCATTAACAAGGCTGAGACAGAACCTGCCAATTCTCAGGTCCTAAAGCCTAAAGCCTAAAGCCTCCAGCATGTCGAGCAGCCTGTGAATCTGGGTCGGTAGCACACAGCAGGGTTCCGCATGACTAGAAAGTGTCTCCCAGTGTGTCCTACAACTACATTAAAAATGCCTGTGGACACTGTTGTGAATTAATCTCAATTTTAAAAGATTTACTAAAGTTTCCTGTCATTACACATTTCTCAATGAATAGATACTAGAAATACAGCTTCGTGACTTGGGAATAGGCAACGATTTCTTAAACAGGAGCCAAAAAATGCTAACTATAAAGAAAAATAAGGATAAATTGCATTACAGTAAGATTAAAAACTCCAATTCATACAAAGAGTTGATTCAAAAATCAAAGTCAAGATACCAAGTAGAAGATCTTTCTAAAACACATAAATCAACAGTGGAATCATATCCAAAATAAACTATAAACATTAAGAAAAAGGCTTAATATAACCTAATAGGAAAGTGGGCAAAACTTCACAAAAGATATTATATAAAAGTAAGTAAACATTTAGAGAGGTGCTCTACTTCATTAACTGTCCTAAAAATGCAGGCATTCTCATACACCACTGGTGTGAGTGTGCACTGGGATAACCACTTTGAACACACGCTGGAAGTGAATTAGTACTGAATACGTGCATATACAATGACCCCGCAATTCTTCTCCTGCATATAAAACATACCCAACAAAAAATGTGTACATACTGGGCATGAAGCAGAATGTTCACAGAGGTACTATGTGTAATGACTCTAACACACACACACACACACACACACACACACACACCAATGATGAGAATGAACCGTACAATGACATGGATTAATCTAACAAATGTAAAGCACCGCTAAAGAAGCCAGATATATCTATTTAAAAATATATAAAGTATGGGAAGTGGGGGTATAAGTGGAATAGGTGAAGGGCATAAAGATGTACAAACTTCCAGTTATAATATAAATAAGTCACAGGGACAGAAAGTACAGCATTGGAACACAGTTATACCTAATAACTGCACGGTGACAGACAGTAACTCCATTTATTGTCACGAGCATTTTATAAGGTATATAATTATTGAATCACATTTATATGGTCAATTAATATATTACAAAGGAGGCAAGAATATACAATGGGGAAAACAGTGTCTTCAATAAATGGTGTTCGGAAAATTAGACAGCCAACACGCAAAAAAATGACACTAGATCACATTCTTACACCATCCACAAAAATAAACTTGAAATGGATTAAAGACCTAAATATAAGATGTGAAAACATAAAACTCCTAGAAGAAAACAAAAGCAGAAAATTCTTGAACATTAGCAATTTTTTTCTAAATACATTTCCCCATACAAAGGAAACAAAAGCAAAAATAAACAAATGGGTCTACAACAAACCAAAAAGCACACCAAAGGAAACCCTCTACCAAATGAAAAGGCAGCCTACTAAATAGGAGATGATATTTGCAAATGATATAACTGATAAGGGATTAATATCCAAAATACATAAAGAATTCATACAACTTAACACCATAAAAACAAAATAACCCAACAGAAAAATAGAGGACTCAAATAGACTTTTTCCAAAGAAGACAGGCCAACAGGCACATGAAAAGATGCTAAACTCACCAGGGAAATACACGTTAAAACCACAACGAGATACAACCTCACAGCAGCCAGAGTGGCTGGTATCCACAGGACAAGAAATAAAAAATGTTGGTAAGGACGTGGAGAAACGGGAACACCTGTGTATTCCTGGTGGGAATTTAGAATGGTGCAGCCTCTATGGAAAAAAGTATGGCGATTGCTCAAAAACTAAAAACAGAAATATGACAGGACCCAGTAATTCCATTTCTGGGTATTTACCCAAAGAAAACAAAATCACTAATTCAAATAAGTATACGTACTTCTATGTTTACTGCAACATTTACAATAGCCAAGATATGGAAACAACTTAAGTGTCCATCTATAGATGAATGGATAAAAGGATGTAGTATATATACACAATGGAATATTAATCAGGCATAAAAAAGAATGAAATCTTGCCATTTGCAACAAGTGTGGACCTAGAGGGTATTATGCTAAGTGAAATAAGTTACAAATTGATTTCACTTATATGCAGAATCTAAAAAAATAAAACAACAAACAAAACAAAAATAGACTCATAAATGTGGAGAAAAAACCGGTGGCTGCCAGAAGGGAGGGGGCAGAGGGATGTGTAGGTGAAGGGGATAAAGATAAAAAAATTCCACTCATAAGTCACAGGGATGAAAAGTACAGCACGGGGAGTATAGTGAAGAATATTCTAATACCTTTGTGTGGTGACAGATGGCAACTACACTTATTGTGGTGAGCATTTTGTAATGTACGTGACTGTCAAATCACTATGTTTTACCAATATAATATTGTACATCAACTATACTTCATCAAAAAAATTTTAAAAGCAGAAAGAAAAAAAAGTATAAAAATAGGCAAAAGAAACTGGAAGTCAGCAGTTAGGATGGTGGCTCCTCTGCAGGTAGAGGAGGAACTGGAAAGGAAAGAGTGAGGTTCCGGGCAGTGGTCTCAGTGCCAAGGACAGGAGGATACTGTTGGTGAAAACCTCTGACTTTACACTTCTTATATGAGTGCTTTTCTGTGTGTATATTACACTTCAATAAAAAGTGCGTTAAGCACTGTGCTAATGAAATTTTACAACACCTAATAGACAGCAAACTTCATATCTAAGGTTTTCTAATTTTTGTGAACATATACTTTTTATTTTTCACAGTTAAATGAGTATATACATGCACATTTTTTATATAAGCACTTTCACTACTGGCGTAGTTCACTACCTTCCTGTTTTCAATATTGCAAGATTAAAGAACACTTAAAAAAAAGTGATTAATTTTAGCACACTCATGACACCACACTCATATTTTAGCTTGAACTGTGAAAACTTCCTGACTGGCCTCAGGTTGCCTTTCAGGCACACATCTATCTGGGTAACTGTTATTTACAATCTAGGAGGACAATAAATTTCATGACTTTCAACACTGACACTGGACTGGACTGGCGCTGGACTGCAGGCTGTACCCACCAGGCCACTGCCTACCCAGTGGCACAGGGGCTGGGTAGGCCTGCACAGTACTCTGAAAACACTGGAATTAGTGGCTAAATCTAAACAATGGAACATGTTACATAATATTCAGACCTCTGGTTCTCTGAACAAACTAAAATCATCAAAAAATAAAAATACTCACCTCCCCTGCCACTCCCCCTCCCCCAGCAACCAGGGGTCTACATTCCAGCACAACCCCCAACCTGCCAGCTGTCATCAGTGTCACCAGTGCTTCTGATAGTGCCCCAGGCCCAGTACTGGCTCCACAGGTGGGCTGTCCCTGCCTGGAACTGGGGGATGCTGGAGTTCATAACCCTCCTTCACGTGGCTAAGGGCACTGCCAGCTTCAGTAATCTCAGGTCTCACCAAGGATGGACCTTGATGAGTAAGTTCACTGTGACCTCTGGGCCTTTTCTTGTCCTTCATAGAGAAACCTGACATGTTCAGTTAGCAAGAATCCCAGGTCTCTGCACGGCCCCCTCTGTCAGGTCTCAGCTCCAGTGTCACCTCCTCAGAGAGGCCTTCCCTGACTGCCTACAGATAAACTCTCACTTCAGCTTGTATTATTTTCTTCTAATCACTGTTTATCATCTGAAAGGACCTTACTTAGTTTTGGGTTCACCCTGTCTCCCACAGTAGGACGTGCACTCCAGGGTGCAGGGGCCACGCCTGTCTAGTTCACCGCTGTCTCCTGAGCTTGGAACAGTTCTCCACAGATACTCTGATGAATTTAAATGCAGCAAATAAACATGGAAACCATCTGTGGAGGACTCCAAGGCATGCAGCAGCCCTCTCCCAGCCGGTGTCATCATATCACCACTTCTGGAAAGGGAAGGAGGTAGCTGGGAAAGAATGGGCTTACCTTTCATTGACTCAGTATTAATTTTTTAGGGTTTTCTTACAATGGAATTACGCATACATTTCATGTTCTTTTACTTTGTTCACATTCGCGATGATTTTCAATGACTAACTGAAGTACATTTAAAGAGAGAAAGAGGGAGAGATGACAGCTTCCAGGACCTCAAGGCTCTGTGCGCTATTTTACCAGGAACATTCTTTTTAACAGGACTACCAGTCATCAGGCAGCGGTTCTCCGGCAATTAAACACCAATATGAAAACCAGCTGTCAAGTCTCACATTCTCAAACCTCACCGTGCTCAGAACGCTTATCAGAGACTAGACTATACTGCGAATGAAGGGAATTCTAACCAGCAAGATAATTGTTTTACGTTGCTCTGCACAGATGAAACCCATAAAGCAGAGATACTCACTAATTTCTATAAAGAGTTCATTTACGTTTATCGCGTTTTTTGCGCTGGTCTCTACAAAAACTGCATGGATGGAGTCGGCGTAGTCCTTAGCATCTCTCTCCATTACTTCTCTGGAAGGCAACAATTACAAATCAAATTCTATCTGTTAATCCTATCCCCACCTACCCAGTAATTAGCTAAATTTATGATGACAGAGGACGTCATGAATGGCTGGTGGTTGAGCCCCAATACATGGCCCTCCCAATTTTGTCACTTCTATGGTACAAAACACAACCTGGCACTACTGGTAGTGCCTCAAATGTAATGATCAGAGTGGCAGGGGCTTCTATCCCCCTAAAAGCAAAGTCCCTGCACTGGGAATCCTGGAAGTAGTCCAGAGAAATTGTCAATAAATGTGTTTTCCTTAAAATATGTTTTCCCCATTCAAGTACCCTATGTCATGTGAGCTGGGGGCTACCTTTATTTCGGATAATGTCACATTCAATAACAACATTTAGATAAATTATACATCTGTCTATATATATAGATAGATGCATATATATTTATGGACACGCAGACACATATTTATATATGCACACACATATATATATAATCTCATTAGCTCCAAGAAGTTTGAAACTTTAGAATTCCAACCAAACAACCAGTTAAGAAAGTTTTCAATTTCAGAGATAAAATAAAAGCAAGATTCTTATATTGGATATTGCTCAGTCAGAAAAGGAACACAGAATCAGCACGGACATCTCCTGTTGTAATAACTTACCTAACATCGATAAGATCGCATTTATTTCCTGCAATGGCAACTACGATATTAGGTGGGCCATGCTGTCGAAGCTCTTTTACCCAATTCTTTAATGTTGAAAATGTCTCCTGCAACACAAAAGAGTAGAGCAACTGGGGACCTAAGCAGCCAAAAGAGAGTTTTCAAAGTAGTCTAAAGAAAACATGCAAGTCTTACTTCTTTTGTGATATCATAAACAATTATAGCTGCAGCTGACCCTCGGTAGTACATTGGTGCTAAGGCACGGAACTGTAGAGAAGGGGGAAAAATAACAAAATTGGGACAACTGGTTAAATATGCTTTTTATTAGACTTTTTAGCCCATTATCCTTGCACAAAAAGTAATCTTTCTCTCAAGCCAAAGAAGATGACATGATGCTTTAAAGCAAATGAACCAGCAATCATCAAAGGCAAAAACTTTCAATGTAACACTGAAATGTCTCTCAAAAGATAGTTTAGAATACAGTTTTACAGGAATTAAATATGGTGCTATAAACAATTGTTTCAGCTAAAAAGGCTTTTTAATTTAACTCAATGTTGTAATTTCCAAATTCACTTGTTCAATAGTCCTTTAAACTTTGGCTTTCCAAATTATCAAGGAGATAAAAATAATGCTGTGAATAGTTCTCCAGAGAAATGAATGCATTTGGATGTCGTAAAGATAACCCAGTAATCTAAATGCTGACTGTAGTACAGAAATGAGTACACATTTACATTCCCTACTCGGATGAGTTTGTAACTCGCTTTTTTGATATCTCTGTGCACATGGCAATTCCCCAATGCAGGTACATATCTCATTTCACTTACATGAATTTAACTCTGTAAGTCCAGCTCCTTCCCACCTATCACCTCTGCCCTCCACATACACTACAGGGAGGGAAGAGAAGGCAAGGAGAGGAATAACAATTTAAATGGCAAGACTGATTCAGCGGGCCACTTCTCTTGATGAGTGTGAGATGTATGATCAGTCAGCATAGGTTCCTGGGCGGAGTTATCTACCAGTGTGAGCAGCTCACTCAGTGAATGATGCTAATGTTTAAAGATGAGAATTGTACCTGTACCTGACCTCTGTCTTACAGCCTGACTAGGAAACCTGACCCTGACCCAGGATGCGATGCCACTGGGCCTTCCTGCTCTTGGTTCTGGTGGCTTGCCATCACCTATAGGTGGGCACTGTCATCAGAGGTGAACGCCTGGTGCACAGAGAAATTCACATACAGAATTAAAGACTCTGTACCTTTCGATCCAATGAGCCCATCGGCTTTTACACTTTTCATACGAATTTGAGTTTTACAAAAGTAAATGAAATTACTACTGCGAACTCCGTGAAGGGGAGCTTGCATGTCTGTTTAGTGCACCATTTTATCTCTGGGGCCTAGCACCAGGCACACTGTAGGTAAGCAAGAATTGGCAAGTGAATGAATAAAAAAACTTTTTAAGTACAGGCAATGGCAAACTAAATGTCAGCTCCAGATGTCAACACATAAGAACTAGTCTTTGTGAGAAAGTTCCCTGCTTCTGAGCTGAAGCCTGGTAACTTCCAATAAAATTCAAATTTTAGAGAGAAGAGCAAAATAAGGGTTGTAAACAAAAAGCAATACAGAAAAAGAAACATGATTAGGTAGAAAAGACTGATTGACTTCCATGGGGTGAGCGTAAGCAGAGCAAGCACATGGGGGAACAAAGGTTATGGCAACAGCTTTCAATTCTGACGAATTATACTGGTGACGGCCTTTATATAGTGGTTGGAGTTTTTATTTTGCATTCAAATTTGTAAGGTAAAATTTATATAGAGAAAGCAAAAATCTTAAGTTTGATAAAAGATCTTAACTTCTGCTAAAATGACAAATGGGTATGTAAATTCATGTAAACACCATTCCACCAAGACACAAAATATTATCACAAAAAATCCCACACCCCTCTTATTAAACATCCTTCTTTACCTTGACAATAACTCTTTGTCTTCAGGTCTATTTTACTAATATTTTTTGATACCAGAATGGTTTTCTTTTGCTCATGGTTTGCATAGAGTATCTTTAACTATTTTCTTATATTCAAGCTACCTGTTTTTATGTTTTGAGATAATCCTTATACCAGCACGTGATTCGATCCTGATTTTTTTTAATCTAACCTGACAACCTCTGCCTTCTAAGTGTAAAGTTTATTCCTTCACATTTGATGTGCTTATCAATATATTTGGTCTTACTGATAATAGGTCCACATTGTTACTTGTTTTATATTTTTTCCATTAAAAGTAAGTCATATTTTTCCTCTCCTCCCCTCTTTTGCATTAACTGAATACTTTTTTAGTCTTCAATTTTAGTATATTCATTTGCCTACTGGCTTTTTAGTTATGTCTTCTTAGATCAGCTTTTTTGTTACAGTTTTAAATATTCTTGTAACTATAATTCATTTCTCCCTCACAGTCCAGAGTTTAAAACGCGTGACCTTACGTAGAACACCAGAACCCTGAGAGGGTCTTTTTATCTCGCTGTCCTTTGTGCTGTTCTCGAGGATCTTAAATCTACATACTATAAACCGTATAATTCAATGTTATGCTTTCTGTAAGTATAGTCTTAAAACACTAAAAATAGCCAGTAGTCTTTTAAGAAAAAAAATATTTTTATATATATTATTTCCAGCGGCTATGATTTCTTCCTATGGACCTGAGATACCATGTGGGGTCACTTCCCTTCACCCTGAAAAACTTTCTGGGACTGCTGCTGCATCATCTCAGCTTTAGCTTTTTTTTTTTTAATGTCATTAGACTTCATATTTGGAAGAGAATTCTGGCAGCTAGACAGACTGACTTTTTTTGCTTTTAGCCCTTTGAAGATATTGCTGCACTGTCCTCTGGCTCCAGTTTCTGCGCAAAGCTAGCCATCATATGTACTGTTGTTCCCCTGTATATAATGTGTTTATTCTCTCTGACTGCTTTCAAGGTATTTCTCTTTACCTTTGGTTTTCAGCAATTCAAGTATGATGTACCTAGATGTGGCTGTCTTCATACTCATGGGTTTGCTGAACTTCTTAGATTTGTGAGTTTATATGCTTCACGAAATCTGGGAAACTTTCAGCCATTAGTTCTCAAAATGTTTTTTTCCTGCCCCGCTCGGCCCCTTTGAATTCTGGGTCTCCAGTTACACAGGTGGGACTGTCTGACCCTGTCCCTGTGGCTCTGAGACTGCATCTAACCTCCCAGCTCTTTCTCGCCTCTTTCATTGGCTCACTTGCTTCATCATCAATCCAGTGGATTTTTCATTTTAGACATTATAGTTTTCAGTTTCAGCATTTCCATTCGATTATTAGTTTCCAATCTGTGAGACATTCCCCATCTGTAGTTAAGACTACTTTCCCTTTACATCTCTGAACATATTTGAACACGCAGGTTTCTCTGCAGTGTTAACACACTGGCCCGTAGTGCTGAGCCTGGTGTTACACAGGGTCAGGCTGGGTCTCCCTGGCTTTGCCTGCAGTCCTAGGATGCAGGCTCTTCTGAAGTCCAGTGGAAGCTGAGGGTGTTTGCCAGTACCCCCAACATGCCAGGCTCACACTCTCCGGCACACCCGGTTTTCCTGTGGTGAGTGGCAGCCGGGACTCTGCTCAGTATTGTCACCCCTCTAGCTGTTGCTTTCTGTTGGGTTCCTTAGTGTCTCTCCTTAGAATTACTTAGGACTTGCAACCTAGGGGTCAAGCAAAGACCTGAGGGGAATTCATGAGATTTGGGGGCTTCCCTCTTTGTTGGATCTCTCTTTTCTGGGATTTGCCTTCACTTTTTCCAACTGCTCTAGCAGCCTTAAACTCTGTCCTCAAATACTACAAGCCAGAGACGGCCTTTCTGCCTGAGGCTTCACTACCCTGTGCAACATGGACAGGCAAGCGCCATCTGGGGAAAAACAATAAAAATGCTGAGTATCACCCAATATGTTCCTTTCAGTCCCTGACTGCATCCGGTTGCTTGACATTGCCTTCAAATAGTTGTTTTTTAGTGTTTTGTCCAGAGTTCATGTGTAATTGCTACCTCTGGAAAGGTCAGTCTGTCACAATTCACTCCACTTCTAACACTAAAACTCTTGCCGTGTCCTTGTGTTGTAAAGAAAGAAGGTGGTGGCTTAAAATACTCAAAGGATGTCAGGACATCTATGCTCCAAAACTGACTCTAGACTGGGGGTCAGCCAACTTTTTTAGAAACAGCCAGGTAGTAAATATTTCAGGCTTTGTGGGTCCAAGCACAGCTACTCAACTCTACTACTGAAGAGTGAAAGCAGACATAGGCAATATGTAAACAAAGAAGTGCACTTGGGTTTCAATAAAACTACTAACAAAAACAGGCAGCAGACTGGACGTGGCCCACAGGTCAGTGTTGAGACCAGATCTAGATGATACTAAGGTGTTGCACTTTTCCTGGATTTTAAACACGAGAACAGCTCCCTAGGTGACTACTGTGACAATGAGTCATGCCTTCCTGATGCTCTGACCTCTGGAAATAGTCATGAGGTTTAAGTCATCACATTAAGATTCAGGGACATAAATCTGGATGCACTATTAGACTCTGGTTAAGAAGCTTTCTAAAAGGACCACAGGCAGATGGCAAGTATTTGAAATGCTGTTGCTACATTTTATGATGTAGTTCTGATGTGTGTTTGTGACGGTTATTTGTGCCCGGTGTGGAGTCTGTCTCCATACTACTGCAGGGACCCTTGCTAGTCAAGCATGATTGGTAGAAAAAGGTCACTTAGAAAGAATTCATTTAGGATAGTAAAAATGGAAAGAAAGGTCTGACAAAGAGTTTATCTTGAGAAAATACATTTTAAATTAGGAAAATAGTTTCATTTTATCTGATACTAGAAAAAACTTAGGTTTACTATTGAATCAGGAGCTAGTTTCCTGAACATCAAAGCTGATTGAGAACTTGACTGTGATTCTTCTGATAAAACTATATGCTGGCACAATATGGTATCTATCATTTCATGTTTGTTTGACTCTCCTAGTTCTATCATAAAAAGGGAATTTTTACACAAGTGCCTGAATACTTCCTCAGTTTTCTCTAGGTATCTCAACCCCTTGACACACAAATCATTACCTCGTATCATTACCTCGATCAGTATTTTTCTCTTCATTATGTTTAACAAGAGCTCTTCAAGCAATAGCTTTACATGGTATTTGTAAAGTTCTCCAAAACCACTTTCACTGACTTAATGAAATCACTTTGCAATCAACTGCAACTGGACTGTTTAAAAAGCCAATCCACCTGTCCAAACTGTATATAGTAGCAGATGTGAGGATCAAATGGGGAGGATGTTCAAATGATCAGTTCATCATAAAGGGGTTTCATTATATGATAACTTTCGGTTCCATAATCAATCTCATTATTATAGAGAACTAAATAATAAATATGCAAATAGAAATATACAATTTGAGGCATGCAATACTCACAAGGTAGAAGTAGGTGGATTTGTCCTTCTGTATCTATAATAAACTCACATAAACTCACTGGCATCAATACTATATGCCATGGGCCGAGAGCAGATGTGAGGACTGTCTCTGCCCCCAGACAGACAAGGAAGGAAATAGGTGACAATCCCATGGATGGGGGCTGTCAAGGAAGGTTTAGTATGTGAAGAAATACCCTGAAGAGTTCAGGTACTGACTGGGTTCAAACAATATCTGGGCATCAACTCTTGCCAGATACTGCCAGGTACTGGGAACACAGAGGTGAACAAGACACTGTCTCAGCTCTCAGAGATCACAGTCTACAGGGAGAGCAGTCAAGAAGGGTAAGCACACAGACAACCAAGCACAACTTGTAATGAGGGTCCTGAGGAAAATAATAAAGGTGAGGATGGAGAATGAACTGGGGCTCTGCTTAGGTACAGGGGTTCAGAAACACTGAGGGCATGACACTGAACCTCAGCCCAAAGGCCATAAGGTGCCAGGTGGCCACACTCCAAGTGGAAGGAAGAGAGAGTTCCGGGAGAAGACATCTCTGAAGGCTGATGGGTAAGCGGAAGGCTGACCTTCCTCAGAACGTCTGAGGAACGAGTGGAGGTGGGAGGCTGGGACTCGGGGCTGAGGGATTAGGGACCAGAAGGGGGCTGAGGATGGGAGGCATGGCAGGCCGTGCAGGATTCTGCAGGCCACTGTTCAGAGTCTGGCTATTAAGAGAGAAGCAGTGGGAAGTTACTAGGGGCTACTAAGCAGGAAGGTAATAGGGTCCTGTGAGAAGTGCCATGGGGTACTGGGCTAGGGCAAGTGAAGCACGGGGACCAGCTAAGAGGCTGAAGGAGATCTGGTGAGAGATAAAGCTGGCTGAGGGCAGAGGGCTGGCAGTGGAGACAGAGAGAAGTGAACGTGTTTGAGATACGCTGAGAAGACGCAGCTGGGAGGACAGTGGTGGTGCCAATGTGGAGGGCCGGGGTCGGGGGAGGGATCAGAGGTGACCTCCAGGGTCGGGCAGAGCGATGTGGGCATAGGGCAGTGTGGGTACTCACCTGAGAACAGCAGGGGTGCTTAGGAAAGTCTCCCTGAGGTGACATCAGAGGGGAATTTTGAAGGCTGACTATGAGTTTTCTAGGCTGAACACGGGAGGGAGGGTATTCCAAGCAAACTGAACAGTAGTATATGGGCACAAGGGTATGAGATTGTATGACACACTGGGAGAATTGTAAGCAGTTTTGTCCTAGGGGATAAATTGGTAGGAGGAGGTGAAAATGGAGAGTCTGGCTGAGGTTGGCATAGTCAGGGCATTAAAGGCCTTGCCCAGGACACACTGGCAGTCAGGAAAAGCTCAGATATGTCTTCCATGATTCTCACACCATTTCACACAGTTTGTGAGTAGCTGTCACAAATTTAGCTTTTCTTAAACACTGCGATCTGGTAAACCAGATGCGAACTCTTGCCCAGCAACAACTGGCTGAAGCTGAGTGCTTACCAGCTGGCGCTCCTCTCCTGTCCCTACACCACAGGGTCCTGTCGGACAGGTCTCTTGACCCCTTCCTGTGTGCCTCATTTATATTCCCCGTGCAAACCCCTGGCTAAGCGGTTGGGGGCTCAGCAATCATGCTTCAGAGAGGGATGAAGCCTATTTGCATCTCAGAGCAACTACACTCTGGGTGCAGAATCAATTAGAGGTGGGGAAAGAAGAGGCAGGCAAATCAGCTAATTACAAACCTTAACAGAATCCTGCCATTACGCCAGCGGTAAGGGAGAGGCATAAAGCCTTGTGTTATTCTTTTTAATGTTCTAGAGAAAGAGATGTTATACATCACTGTGTACACCACACAGGCTCTGATTCAAAGCTTAACGGAATCTACGTTACAGCATGATTCTTTACGATGAAGGTTTTGCTGTACCATCAGATATGTGGGAGGGTTAAGTGGAACTCAGGATTCGGTGAAAAGGCACATATATCACTAGCATGAGGAGGCCTAGGACTTCTCGGGTGACAGGACTGATGCCAAGGCTCAGCAAGACCCACAGGAAGCGACACTTCAGTCGCACAGAGAGTGACGGCTAGGGAAGGTCCAGCTGCCCTAAAAGCTCCGTTCTGGATGCACAGCACGACAGGAGGCGGCGCGGGGAATGAGAAGCAGACATATTTCGGATGAGGAACTGGATGCAGGGGTGTCGCTCAGCATTAAAAAATACATTAGGGACCAAACAGAGCAAACGTCAGACTTTAAATCTGTACAAATGTATGGTGTCTGTGTCTAGGACAACAGTAATGGCCTGTTTTGTTTTTCTCCATTTGTCTGTGATGATTCTTGTCAGATTTTATACCATATGCAGTATCTACACCATCTCAGATAAGACCATGACGACAGACTATTTCTCCTGATCACGTCTGGTGTACTTTTAAGAGCTTATGGTAGCTTTGCGCATTCAGCAGATGTTCTCTTTTGATAGTACTGTTTGAAAACAAAATTAAACAGCAGCTGAATGGGGGTAGCTGTCAGATGCACCTTGACAGGGAAATCCGACACGGGGACAAGAGGGAAAATGAGGCAGCGGGCGAGTGTCTTATGTCCTTTCCTACCTTCCCACCCTGTCAGATTTGGGTGTCTTCACCCAATTCCAGGCTGTACCATGACGCCGTGCCCAGGCCCAATTCTGGTTCAGGCTCTTAAACAGATAACCACCACGGACAATTCTATCATCTGGCATTTCCTAAGTACCTATTGCACAGCACTGTTAGCTCATCCACTTCACTTAAATCTCAAACGTTATATGCTGTAAAGTTCCCTCTTTAAGAGCTTTTAAAAGGCAGCTATAAATGAGATGTGCTTACCTCTCCCTTTCTACTACTAATTCTTTTATATCTTTGCTGAGGATGGAGACCCAAATTACACACAGTGCCCTGCGCAGGACTTTATCAGGCCTGTTAGCCAGCATTTACTTTGAGACACTAGAAGTATAAAGATGCCCTTAGTGCCCATTATCACTTTCTCCATCAGCGGACTCTGTGGCTCTAACTGAAAAGAAACAGACTGGCCTAAGCAAATGGAAACAAACGTGTCTGGCACACAGAGAAGCGGGTAACGTGAAATCGACATTGGGGATGTCCACAGTTTTAAGTTGGAGCTTTAATTTGCGCCTCAGAAAAACACATAGTAAATAAACAGTGACTTACTCGTTCTTGTCCAGCTGTATCCCAGATTAGGAATTTATGTAGCTCATTTTGGTATTGGACAGTCTTGGTCATAAAAGATGCCCTATAAAGAGAGACCTAAATGATCAGAATACAATTATTTAAAGCACGTTGCTAGCCCCCACTGGAAAGATCACTTAGACTTAACGCTCAAACTCCTCCTCCACACTATATCCTAATTGTGCCCCTCTCTGCAGTATTTATGGGATGCTCCAATGCTGGCTGCATATCCTGCGTCCAAATAAAGTATTAGGCACGGCTGCCCAACAAAGAAGGAAGAGCTCACTGGCTTGCGACAGCTTAACTCCATATCAAAGGGGCTGCAGAGGTAATTTGGTGATCCAGAGATTAGCCTCCCTTGTAAAATACAGAAGCTGTTACTTAAAGAGATGGAATCATGGGAAAACTTTCTAAAAACACCTGTGTGTCCAAGAAATGAGTGCACTAGTAAAAAATATAAATATTAGGCCACTGGATTTGTCCTCCTCCCCTTCCAAACCAATGACCATATATACAGTCCAATAAGAGCTAGTATTAACTAGAGTTAATAACATTAAGATGCCAAACAGGGAGCAGAAAGATGGCCCCCAAGGAACAGCTGTCTCAGTGATAATATGGACCCTCAGCTGACCCGACAGGCCATATCAGACCTCAGAACCAGCCAGGCGCTTGATGGGGAAAGGAATGCTGACTTGCAGGTCACACTGCTCACTCTGAGGGACACTCGGCCCTGGAGCCTAAGGCAGGGGGAGGATTCCTCTCATTTTATCATTTTAGGTGGTCTCATTCTTTTGGAGAACCTCTGAGGAGCCATGCTGGCCCAGAGCACATGCCCGCACACTCCTGGACATGGGAAGTTCTACTGTGGGGCTGGGCTCAGCTCTAACACAGTTTCTGCTCCCCACTTGTCCCAAAAAGCTCCCTCCTGGCAAGTCCTTTGTCTCCCAGTGCCCTCCACATATCCCAGTCTGGCTCACAGAACCGAGAGATGGTGTATCTTCTTTTCTACTGGACAAAAAGCGTTGTGGGGCCCAGGGCCAAGTTATACTCTTGGGATCATACCCTAATCATGATAATCAGGACAATGAACTCAATGGCTAGGCATTTTCAAACATGCTGGATATCTGAAATATTTTTGAGAATCATGTAATAGATACATAATCTTCAAGAAAGCACAAGTTGAAATTGAGAGAAGGACTTTCTCAAGAATTCACTGAGTTTAAGTATCAGGAGCCTCAGTTTTAAACTTAAATTCTGATATAATGAATTCCTGGCAATATTTATTTAAGTTTATGGTTTAGCAACCAGCCTGCAAAATAGTGATTGTGAGGATGAAGGGACAGTATGGAAGCAAGATCACATTGAAAGGACAGGTGCTATTTACTGGACATCTACTTACTGGAAATTTACCCCTTGGTATCCTTAGTAAAGTGCTTTATGCAAGAAGGTGCTGGATAAATTGTTATTGTACAAAGAACTTTTGGCGACTTACCCTGATTAAATCAGGGTGTGTAACATGATTTCTTACGAAGAAAGATCTAAGCATTCAAAAAGGCTTGTTTATGTGAAGACTAAGTGATATGTATGTGAAAGTGCTTTGGAAATTGTAAAGCACTATACCTATCTATACAAGGTATCATTATTATTATTATTATTATTATTATTATTTAAATCACCTTCAGAAAATATTTTAGTTTATTTAGACTTTGCAATTCATCCTAGGAGCTTGCAACTCAACTCAGCATCAATTATGCTGTGGTGTTACACTTAAGAGAGATGCCAGGCTCCTGTAGGCCTATTAACACAGCCAGTGCATCCAACATACCCATTTTGGCTGCTCAAACAAGAGAAATTTACTTCAAAAAGAAAAAAAGCTGAAAAAGGTATATGCAACAATTAAAAGGAAACGTTTCATTATAGGAACAAAATTCACTGAAGGTCAACTTACCTGGCAACCATTTCCCCCTTAATGAAAGAATAGACTCATTATGCTAAAAGACAAAGACAATGGTAGCTGTAATGCTAGTGCCTTACAGGACTACACCCAACTTCCTGTCTCTGGTCCTAGGCCATCCTTTCAGACCCCCAGCCCCATCACTCTCAGCGTTCTTTCTTCCTATTTCCCCCCAGGCTTGCTGTGCCCAGAGTTCTCTACCTGGGTCTCCACCTCTTGGCGTCTGTCCTTTTACTGCCAGCACCACTCGCCCACACTGCCGGGTCTTCTGGAATCTTGTCTATCCTTCTGACTCAATAACCCAGAAAAGCCCCAAGCAGCCTCTTGTCTGCTTCTTCTCCCCAGTGGTGGGGTGGCTGCCTTGCTGCAGGAAAGCCACAAAGCCATGTAGGCCACAAAGCTGGTGTGAAGACTCCTATTTCAGCAGGCGTGCCTCTTAGGCCTCTCATTCCACACAGCAATTACTCCACATTCTTAAAAGACTCCTTTCTAGCTCCCTACCACTCCATTACCCTCCGTTCTGGGGCAAGAGTTTGTTTCACCTTCTCAGAAAAAATAAAGGTTCTAAACCCTAAGTCCCTGAATTTCCCTCATCAACCCTCCCTTTTCCACTTTTCTGACCTCAATGGAGTCAGGGATTTCTTCCTTTGATCCACCCATCACCAATGCCCTAGTACATCGTGATCCGAGCACATCCTGCCGGCGCCACTGCAACCATCAAACTGGTCCCTTCCTCCCAGTCGCAAATACTTCCACTGGTTCCTGTTTCTGCCTTCACAGACTGTTCCTTTTCCTTGAATGTTTTTTCCTTGGGAAAGCATGGCTAGACGCTCCTCATTCTTCACGTCTTGGTTCGGCTGCCGACAATCACAGAAACCTGTGCAGCCTACCTGGAGCGGGTAGCTTCCCACCCATTTCACTCTGCAACACACACATCATCCCATTTTGCCTTCAGGGCACCTGCTACAATGTCTGATTAGCTTATTTATGTTTGTTTGGTTTGTTCTTTAAAAATTTACCTGGTTAATGTCACAATCACCTTGGAGAAATATAAGCTCCCTGAAGCTGTACTTCTTCAAGTGTAACTGGGGTAACTGGGGTATTGCCCTCATCTCCCTCCTCCTCGCTATCCTGGAATTCTGACTCGGTATTTACTGTGTGGCCACAAGCTGTTTAGTTTCCCATCACTCCAACAGTTTCAGGGTGTCCTGGCCAAGCACTTCCTGAAGCAAAATGTGAGAAGTGCTTCTGAAGTACAGGTAGAGCTGAGATTAGAGGTGACCTTGGCTCTTTAACTGCACCCAGGTGTGTAGACTCTAGGAAGCCAGGGATGTGGTTCGACTATGGCTACATGACTCACTTGAACGAATGAATCCTCTTCCACAGCTTCAAGTTTTTATCTGTTAAGCACAGCACTTCCTAAATCTGATTGACTTTAACTGCACTTCTGGATACTTAATCACCACCTCTCACTTAATATAGTGAAGAGCTTATTTCCACTGCACCCCCACCACACCCCAAATTCTGAGCTCTCAATGGAACATTATGCCCGCCTTCCACAGAACAGAAACTGGTCTGCAACTATTCTTTGTCCTTTGTTATTTGTATCCAGTTCTGTAGAACTATCCGTTCTTCATTTTATATTTAATCTACACTTGAATCCCAACCCCTGAAATAAATCCATAAATTGGGCCCTGATCTTCGAGCAGGACTACAATTTTCCTGTCCCACTGCCACTCGAACTCCAGGATAGCTCCTGTGACGTTCAAATTAAATGACGTGGAGGACATGGTAACTTCGATAGCTTGCTTTTTGAAAAACATGCAATGGCTTCCTGCCATCCAAATGATACATTTTTATTTTCCAGCCTGCCATTTACTTGTCTGACAACCTTATTTTTCACTACTAAACCATCTCTCTTCACTCTGCCTAGGCAGACCTTATTACCTCTTTAATCTAAAATCCCTACTAGCATTATTTCCTAGAGCTAGAATGCCTTTCATATACTTCTGCATTTTTCATGACATTCTAAAAATACGACTTTCATGCACGCCAAGTAGTCATGATCTTTGGCCAGAGTACGTGTTCCCAATGAAAATACTCACTACAAGGTGTTTTAAAAACGTCTTTTCTTTAACCACAGTAGACTTGCTTAGAGCTCTCAGAGCACGAGTGACCCTGCCACCACACTCCAGTACCTCTCAGCTGCAAACCCTTTTCTTGGAAAGGCACATGGGATCGGATGCTGTCGTCTCCACAATGGGGTACAGTGCCTTGTAAGGATGAACAGCTCAGCCACTTAAAAATTAATGAAGGATCTAAGGGTGAATGTAATAACCACATTGTTTTTCTTGTGAAACCTTCATGAGAGTGCATATCAATGATACAATTAAAAAAAAGAAAATAACAATAAAAGCCTCCTTCATAAGAAGATTCATGTAGAACCAAAGATAATATTCAAAGAATACAGGCACAAAATATCAATTATAATATAAAATAGTCATGGGGATGAAAGAGCAGCATAGAGAAACAGTCAATAGTTCTGTAAAATCTTTTTATGTTGACAGTTAACTACACTATTTGGGGCTTGCAACTAATAATGCAGATAACTGTCAAATCACTATGCTGTACACTTGAAACCAATATAATATTGTGTATCAAATATACTTCAATAAAAAATGTACTCTAAAAAGGCAAAAAAAACCGAATGAAGGATCATGACTTCTAACCAAATAACTCTCATGCAAACAATGCCTGAATCTCCAGGTTACATATACTGAAACAAAATTGAATACACCAAGATGGAGACATAAAAAGACCAAAGGTACATGAAACCTAGTAGTTCCTCTAATGGACGAAGCAGGGGGTCTTCAAGAGAATTCAGGATGGTGTGAGGAAGTAGACTGGTGCTCAGTGAGAATGAGCTGAATACAAGGGCATCTCTGACTGGTCAGAATGGCCTCAGGAAACCAGAAGTCTGCGTAACCACGAATTCAGTGACTTACGTGGGCTCCATAGCCATGTTTTACCCCTTCCTTTAAACTTCCCAGCCCCATCACTCTCAGCGTTCTTTCTTCCTATTTCCCCCCAGGCTTGCTGTGCCCAGAGTT